AGTAGAGAAATTAGAGTTTTGTGATCATTGTATTTATGGGAAGATGAGCAAAATTAGATTTAGTATGGGGAGACACTATTCTGAGTCCATCCTAGATTATATCCATTCTGATGTTTGGAGGCCAGCTAAATATCTGTCCTTGGGGGGCTGTAGGTTTTTTATTAGCATTATAGATGGCTATTCAAGGAGAGTGTGGATATAATATTTCTTTAAAAACAAAGGACAAGCCTTTAGTAAATTTAGGGAATGGAAAGTAATGATTGAAAACTAGACACGGAAGAAAATCAAGAACTTAAGGACTAATAATGGGTTAGAGTTCATAAATGAGGAGTTTGATAAATTGTGCAAGAGTAGTGGAATTCTGAGGCATAGGACAGTCAGTTATACACCCCAACAGAATGAGCTAGCTGAAAGAATGAATAAAACTATCCTGGAGAAGGTTAGGAGCCTACTATCTTGTGCCATACTTCCCACCAAAATTTGGGCAAAAGCTACTCATACAGTAGTATTCTTAATCAATATGATTCCTTCCTCATCTATTGAATTTAAGACATCGATTGAGAAATGGACTAGATATCCAGCTGATTATAGCAGTTTGAAAGTATTTGGATGTACTATTTTTGTGCATGACAGATCTGATAAGTTACATCCTAGAGCCATTAGGTGTATTTTCGTAAGATATCCTGATGGGGTAAAAGGGTATAAATGTTGGGATGTTGTTGGGAAACGATATATAGTCAACAGAGATGTCAAATTCAAGGAAAAGGAATGGGGTAGTCTCAATGAGAAATCCGGTGAGATTAATTCTGAGGTTATTAGGTTTGAAATAGGTGATGAAGTTCCTTCTGATAATGCTAGTGAATTAAAGCCAGATTATCAGTAAGAAGCTTGCCAACCTTAAGGTGAGGAACCTATTTTAGGAGAAAGTGAAGATAATTCAGCTCATGATGAAGAGCACGAACTTTAGAATTATCAGTTAGCTAGAAATAGGTTAAGAAGGGAGATTAGGTTACCTAAGAGGTATTCCCAGGTTGATATGGTGGCTTTTACACTCTAAGTTTATGAAGAAGTAGAAGATGAACCTAGAACTGTCAAAGAAGCTATGGAAAGTAGAGAATCTAAGCTGTGGAGATTAGCAATGCAAGATGGGTATGATTTATTGAGGAAAAATAAAACTTGGGTGCTTATAAACAAACCTGAGGGCAATAGAGTTGTCAAGTGTAAATGGGTGTTTAAAAAGAAAGAGGAAATTCCAAGGGTAGAAGCACCTAGGTTTAAAGCCAGACTAGTTGCAAAGGGCTTTACACAGGTTGAGGCGGTAGATTACACTGAAATTTTTTCACCTATGGTAAGGCACACTACCATTAGAGTTCTTCTGTCCTTAGTAGCCCAATTTGAACTTGAATTAGAGTAGCTTGATGTCAAAACAACATTCTTGAATAATGATTTAGAGGAAAGGATTTTAATGGAACAACCTTTTATGTTGATGATATGTTGTTGGCTTGTAAAGATGCAACTGAAATTGCTAAATTTAAGGTTGAAATGAAAGACTTGGGGTAGGCTAGAAAGATTCTAGGAATGAATATTGAGAAAGATATAAAAATAGGAAGGATTGTGCTATCTCGAAAGGAATATACTGAGAAGGTTATTAGAAGGTTTAATATGATTGAGTGTAAACCTGTTAGAACTCCAATGGGACAACATTTTAAGCTAAGCATAAATCAGTGTCCTAGTTCTGAAGATAAGGAAAGGGAAATGCTTAATGTTCCCTATGCAAATGCTATAGGTAGTTTAATGTATCTTATGGTCTATACAAGACCTGATCTTGCTTTTGCAGTAAGCTATGTTAGTAGATTTATGAGTAATCCTAAAAAATTCACTGGGAGGCAGTGAAATAGATTCTAAGATATGTTAGGGGAACAATCTCAATTGGAATTGTGTATAGTAAAGGAAGAAACTTGCTGGATTTTATTACAGGATGTGTTGATGCTGATTATGCTGGGAATCCTGATAACAGAAAATCAATAACTGGTTTTGCATTTTCTTTATGGATAACCTGGTCTGTTGGAAAGCTAATTTGCAGGCTATTGTGACCTTTTCGACTACAGAAGTTGAGTATGTGGCAATCACAGAAGCTGCCAAGGAAGCAATATGGCTCAAGGGAATGCTTAGTGAGCTGGGATTTAATCAGACTCAAATTCCAATCAAAAGTTATAGCCAGAGTGTTATCTTTTTGTGCAAAACCCAAGCTTTCCATGAGAGATTCAAGCACATTGATGTAAGGCTGCACTTCTTACTGATAATCTAGCTGAAATTCACCAGCATTATCAGAAGAAACTTCATCACCTATTATAAGCCTAAAAATTTCAGAATTAACCTCACCAGATTTCTTGTTGAGACCACCCCATTCCTTTTCCTTGAATTTGACATCTCTGCTAACTATACATCGTTTCCTAGCAACATCCCAACATTTATACCTTTTTACACCATTAGGATATCCTATGAAAATACACCTAATGGCTCTAGGATTTAACCTATCAAATATGTCATGCACAAAAACAGTACATCCAAAGATTCTTAAACTGCTATAATCAGTTGGATATCTAGTCCATTTCTCAATGGGTGTCTTAAATTCAACAGCTAAGGAAGGAATCCTATTGATTAAGAAAACTGTTGTATGAACAGCTTCTGCCCAGAATTTGGTGGGAAGTTTGGCACAAGATAGTAGGCTTCTAACCTTCTCTAGGATAGTTCTATTCATATCTTTCAGCTAGCCCATTCTGTTGGGGTGTATACCTAACTGTCCTATGCCTCAAAATTCCACTAATCTTGCACAGTTTATCAAACTACTCATTTATGAACTCTAGCCCATTATCAGTCCTTAACTTCCTGATTTTCTTCCCTGTCTGGTTTTCAATCATTATTTTCCATTCCCTGAATTTTCTAAAGGCTTCTCCTTTGTTTTCCAAGAAATATATCCACACTCTCCTTGAATAGTCATCTATGATGCTAATAAAAAACCTACAGTTCCCCAAGGATAGTTATTTAGTTGCCTCCCAAACATCAGAATGGATATAATCTAGGATGAACTCAGAACAGTGTTGCCCCACACTAAATCTAATTATGCTCATCTTCCCATAAATACAATTATCACAAAATTCTAATTTCTCTACTTTGTCCCCTTCTAAGACCTTTTGCTTACTCAGCTCAACTAAACCTTTCTCACTAACATGTCCTAACCTCCTATGCCATAAACTTGTCTTATTAGACATCTGAGACTGAGATATTGCTGCTGTTCCAATGATAGTTGATCCATTTAGAACATACAGCCCATTCTTCTTCTCACCTTTCATAACAACTAAGGACTCTTTAGTGACCTTAAGGACTCCACCTTGAGCCTTATAGCTATAGCCAATTGAATCCAGACTTCCTAGAGAAATCAAATTCCTTTTCAATTTTGGTATGTATCTAACATCTGTGAGTACTTTTGAACTGCCATCATGCAAATTCAGGTTTACATCTCCAATTCCTAAGACTCTACAAACAACATTGTTTCCCATCAAAACTTTTCCAAACTCTAACTTTCTAAAATTCAATAGAAAACTCCTATTTGGAGTCATGTGAAAGGTACAACCAGAACCAACTATCCATTCAACATCAATTTCATTTTCAAAAGCCACCAACACATCAGAACTTTCATACCCACTAGAAGCTACATCTACACTCCTATTAGCATCCTTTTCCCCTAACTTTTTCTTCCTATTAGGACAGTCCCTCTTAAAATGACCTTTCTTATGACAGTAAAAACATTTTCTAACAAATTTAGATTTTGACTTAGATATACCCCTAAACTGTCCTTTCTTGTGAGTTTTCTTTCCAGATCTACCTCTCACATGCAACCCCTCACCATCCAGTTTACCCTCTTTCCTAAATTCAACATCTTTTGTAGTAATTGCAACTACAACCTCATCTAGCTTAAGAGTCTGTCTACCATATTTTAGGGTATCAACAAAATTAGCATACATTTTTTGTAAAGAGTTTATGAGGATGACAGCTTGATGTTCATCCTCCACCTTAACGCTTAGACCCTCTAAATCTTGAACCAATTTCATGAAATCATTCATATTCTCTCCTAAAGACTCTGGTAAGCTATCCTCACCCTCTAAGGTAGCTGATAACCCATCCATAACTAAGACAGCCCTCATTTTCATCTTCCAAACCCATAATCAGTATCACCTGTGAACTTCTCTGGTTCAAACTTAGACATTTCTAGGCTTACAACCTTTACAATTACTAGGAGATAAAAAACCCCAAAAGTTCAAGATCTAGAAAACCCTAAATCAAGACTCCCGTAACCAAACAGTTTAGATCTAACCCTAGACAAACCCAAATTCGAACAATCTCTAATTCCCAGACCTAATCTGGCTCTAATACCACTTGTTAAGCTTAAAGAGTATTCGAACAAGAAATCCTAAGTTCTCAAACAAGCAATATTCACAGCATTTAGAGGAGCAAATAATAAGAGCATAAAAATAAAGAACACACAGCAATTATAGTGGTTCAGTAATCAGTTGACTACCTACATCCACTCTTCAAGGCAGTAGGAATTCATTTACTATATGAAAGAAAATCTTACAGAGCTTGTAGATCCTGTTTACAAGGTAGATTCCGAGGAAAACCCTTCTGTAATTACACCCGAAACAGACCTAAGAGTGCCTCACATCTCATATCAAATACAAAAGTATTAATCAGCAATTTATACAGAAAGAAAAGGGAATAAAAACAGTTACAACTAGGCTCACCACCATTGTTGATTTCATCCGGCAAACATCAATGCCCCACCTTGACAATTTCTTCAACAAACTTTCTCTCTCTACAACCAAGAGAGAACAATCGGGAAGAAGAATATAAGATTTTGGTCTAAACCAATTTGGATTGTTCCAACTGAATTTATTTAATCAAGCATAAATTACTTACAATACATTACAAGAAAAGAAATGCTATTAAATTCCCTAACCAGGATCTAATTACATATTCCTGAAGCATAAGGCACAAATGAAGATGCTAGAAGTTTTTATGCTAGTAAAAATTTAAAAAGGGAAAGATTAGAGACCTAGCTTGGTTTTTTTTGACTGGGATTTCGAATAACCACACCTTAACTTAATTCCATTTCCACTGAAACTAATGACACCAGAAAAACCAGAAGCATCAACATTGAGCCAAGACCCCCAGGTATCATCCTCGCCAGTAAAAAGTGCCTCAAGTCACTACACGCACAACCTCAAGATACATAATCTTTTCATATACATATGCAGCAGACATTCATAATCAGGTATTAGAAATTCCCATCCACAAGGCAATATACATACTGGGGTAGAGCCTTGTAAATCAACTCGAGCTGCAAAAAGTCCAGAGGGTTGAAACCTTCTCCGACGCCCCAAACCCAGGGAAAGTCAAACTTTTTACTGTTCCCGTACAAAAATGGTAAAACAACACATAATGCTGAATGCAGTTAATTAAAAGGAGAGAACCACAATAAAAGTACAACTTAAAAGACAAGAAATGCAGACTGATATTGTCAAAAAGCCATCGCATCCTAAAATTGCATATATAAAGAAGGGAATCAATCTAATCAGTCTTTTAAATATATACACTTTTCATAATGAGTTTCCTAACCCCAGAGGGCAGGTCATTATATATACAAATCATAGGCATACTGACATTATGAACTAGGATATAGGTCTATATAGATTCCACCTTATCAAATAACATAATCGTTCACAATATCAAATATTATGGCACCAAACCTTACTAAGGTAATCAATCTTTAACTGTTCAGCAACATCTTCACGAAGTGGAAGCCAATCAAGGCCCCCTTTACGAGCAAACCAATGACCTCTAAGAACACGTCGATTGTCTCCATTCCAATAAACAGGAAAACAATGTCTCTTTACCAAATCTACCTGCAACATTTTTAAGGATTTCATCTTCAGAAGTATTCTCTAGGTTGAGTAATAAAAAAAGACGGCTCTTAAATATAAATCAATAATTAAAAAAATAAAATTAAAATTTCTGCTTAAAACTTCAGAGTTTTGCAGACCAGAATATATAAATAATTAAAAAGTTCAAAACATAGGTTTTTAAAAATAACTAAATGAATAAAGAGCAAGAAACATGGCATCCAGATCTACATGGCAAAAAAAATAACAGTAATAATAATAAGAACTTAATAAATCATGTCTCAAGCCATATTTCACCCTTGCTCAACACACAAAACAATTACAGCTGAAACCTCAAAAAAAGGGCTACCTCATAAAGTCCTCCCTTTACAAGAACTCCAACCCTTTCTTCTTCTTCATATAGAAGGGATGATAAAGTAAATTCTAAGGAAGCAAGACTTGGTAGCTTTTCCAATTTCTTACTGGAACTAGGTTGTTCCTTAGGACCTTCACTACATTCTGCATACTCTTTCCACCAACTAGAGAGCAATTCTTCCTTTGTCTGTAAAGGTACATTCAATAGATAAGCATTTAGCCAATTGCATTAGTGAGGAAAACCTGTCAACCAGTTGGATGCAAATATTGCTCAACAAAAGTTTCTTAAAACTAAAATCATTTTATATTAAATCACCTATATTGGTTGCTTCTAACCATGTCTCTTGAATATCTTAAAAAAATTTCATAAAATCTTGCATCAGAACAAAACATTAACTAGAAGGAACTTATTTGTTAATCAAAAGAGGTTGATGGTCTAAAAGCCAACCCAAAATCCTAATAAAAATTGAAGGAAAAGTATAATTATTTAACAGATCTGCAAGAAGGATGCCTCTATCCCAAGAGAATCTCTCATACCAAAACAAAAGTATTCATTCTTTCCCACTATCTTAGTTCGAGGAAGTGAAGCAGCTGGCTCTGTAAAGTCACAAAAGGAGCAATATTTCATCAAAATTCACACATATCTTTGATTTGACACAAATATTAATGGCTAAATCCATTAAAGAGAAACAAACCACTAAAATTTGTGTTGCTGCAGCTATTAATCAACTATTTGCTCACAATGAAAACCCCCTCTAGAAGGCACTACGACTTAGTTTTCAACACTCTGATAGTACTACATTTATCAAATAAAATATTCTGCATACAACTAACTTATAATAGCTAACAAAGTAACATGCTTACTGAGCCAACAAAGCTCAAATCCAGATAAAAACTTGAAATGTCATATGGGTAAAAACAAAGCAAAGTAACCTTGCAACAAAACTCAATGCATACCAGTGGCCACTTTGAAATTAAAACAACTAATCATAGTAACATGCTAGCTAACCCAACAAAGCTCAAACTCCATATACAAACCACAAAACTTTCATATGGGTAAAACCAAATCAAACCAAAGCAATGAGACCACTGGAAAGCAAAGTGAACTCAATGTTGTCACGATGACCAACCAAACTTAAGTTCTTGCTTAGCTTACCGGTATCTGTTCAGAGAGATAATATAAACCATCAAATAAAATGTGTATGCATGCAAGGTGTGTATTTGCAAGACATATGCATACAGGCCCCTTAAAACAGGTAATAAACACTCCAAACCATTTATACATTATCATGATGCAAGCTTCAAAAAATATGTAAAGATTCTTGCCAACTATTTTCGAGGTATATCTCACCAAATTCATGGAAGCACCCAAAACCCATAAAAAAAACAAAAGAATTATGCCCCCGCTTTACTAAAGCCAATCTAATTCTTTTGGAATGAACAGATTAGTGAACCAAAATGTCAGAGTAATTTCAGATGAAAATTAAGGCATACAAGACACTGAGCTAATTCTGATTTGGTAGAGGCTTTTATTACAGCTTAACTTTAAAAGTTATGGTTCATACTTTGCATGGGCTTGAATTCCCCTACGCAGACACATTCTGGGGTCCCACTTCCCGATGAGTGGGCAGCAGTCCTACTTGCCGATGAGTGGGCGGGGGTGAGGGGGCTGCAGATCATATCATGAAAAATGTTTCAAACGGTCATTTGCGTTGGTGTTAAATAGCATAAACTGATTCAGATTATAGGTGAGCTGCATATCTTTTGTATTATCAACTTTTATAAAGTCATATAGTTCATTGCAATTGGGATGGGAAAAGAAAACATTCAAGATGATCCAGAGTACCCAACTAATATTCTCTTAAATGGCTTAGTTGAAAAATGAATTAAACCATTTCCGTTAGATGCAACTTACTTTCTTGGTCCAAAGAGAAGCANTCAATACCTGGTGTTGGTGAAGACTGAAGACGAGCTGCCGTTGACCGTTGGAGAGGTGGAGCTCGACGGCGACGGATGAACAGTTGAAGACTGAAGTACTAAACAGAGCAGAACTGCAGATTGCAGAAGAGAAGAAGAGAACGCGACTGCCCACAGTTCGTCAGTTCCTGAGCAAGAAGAAGATGACAACGACGGTGTAGCTTCTTGATCGACGGTGACGGAAGAACAGAGCAGATCGACGGTGAAGAGAGGACTGAGAACAGATCGCGCGGTACCCCAGCAGCCCAGTTGACGACGAGCTATACAATTGACGGTGAAGGCTAATGTGACGAGATTCGAAGATGAACTGGTGAAGGGGAGACTCGTGGATGATGAAAAAAATTGAAAATGCAAATGGTTTTCAGAGTTTTCAGACGAAAGAGAGGGAAGAAGATGCGTGAAAATTTTCAAAATGGGGGGAAATATTGATACTGTATAAGTGAAGACAAGTCAAGTTTACTGTTTTATATTTATTAAATTTAATATTTTAAATTTTTAAATTTTGTTTGTATTAATGTGCATGACCTGATTTTCATTAAAGTCACCGGTTGGATCGGTGGGTGCTACAGAACCCCGGTCCAACTGCGGGTCAAACTGGACAGAAGTATTCTACCGGTTATAAAGCTCACTCGGCCCGGCTGTCTGGCCGGGTCCCAGTTCAACCGGTTCAACCGGCCGGGCCGGGCCGGGTTTTAAAACATTGGTGAATCATCATTATTTGAGTCAAAAGAAAATAAATATTTGAGCAGGGGCCAAAATTTATTTTCAAAACTTTTTACACCTCCCTCACGTCACGTTTTTAAGCAGTCAATTTTCACGTTTTTGGTCCCAGAGGTAGAGGGGCACGACTTCTCAACTAGTCAGTCAGACGACTCAAACCACATGCTTTGTTCTATACTTTTCATTCTCCCTATGCTTTCTATCATATTTTTGTCACATGCTTTACTAAAGACAAACTATTTTAATGCACTACTTTTTCAACTCTCTCGGTCTCCCCTACTATTTTTTATTTTAATCACTAATCAAACATTCCATATTGTTGAGATAAATATTAATTATTTCATAATTAAAATACAAAAGTTACTTTAACCAAAGTTTCCAATACTCATCTTTTAGCTGCGAAGGCAGGATATAGCTAAAAGTTACACAAGATTTGATCAACCTATACGTTACCTGCCGTGCTGCTGCTATTGCCGTGAGAGGAGATCTGTTGCTACCGTGAGAGGAGATCTACTACTGCCGTGAGAGAATGGGCTGCCGTGACCTCCTGCTGCTAGCGCCTGCCGCTGCCGTGAGAGAAGTCAAAGAATGAGGGAGAGTGAAGCTGCTGTGAGAGTGAGAGAGTGAGGAAGTGGAGCTGCTGTGAGAGGACTGAGGAGTGGTCGTGGAGTTGCTGTGGCCTATGAGAGAAGAGAATGAGCTGTTGCGTTTTTTTTTTTTTCATTGATAAGTTTTGGTTTAGATTAAGGTTTTGAGAATGAGACTTTGAGATTGAGACGAGTGATAACTGATAAGTTTTATTTTTTTTTAAAAAAAATTTCAAATTTGCAGGTCCGCGGGTACCCGTGGATAGTACCCGGTCCATCCGTAAAAGTCACGGGCGGGTTGAGTACGGGTCAGATTTTCACGGATTGAAATATGTGTTACCCGTACCCGCCCATTGGGTACGGGTACCCGTTGACCCACAGGTACACCCACCCGTTTGCCAGGTCTAGCTAGGAGTAACTGATGAAACAAAGCATCAGGAAAAGCTTGAAACATAAATCCTCAAAAATTAGATGTTTCTCCAAATTTCTTAAAACTGAACAGTATACTATAATTTCAACAATTACACTCGCCTTCTGGTAATATGATATGTTCGGGATGGAAGAAACAATCTGAGCAGTCCTATGAACAGCCAAGATTGTTGTTACTAGCAATAACAATATTATTTGAAATATTCTCTAGCAAACCAGACATCATATCAAGAATGGCTCCCACGTCGCCAACCTGTTAAGTACAAACAGTTGTGTGATAGCAACAGAGGCCTGCAGCTTCGCATTTTGTGCAAGTTGTGAGGCAATGTCCACAATATGAATCTGTACATGAGGTTGTTTGGCAACATTCTTATGATCCAAGTGCTTGATCAAGATAGGTAGCAACAGGTGGGAGCTTCCTCCTGGAGATTAAACAAAAAAAAAAAAAAAAAAAAAAATCATATCAATTATATCCACAGAAAAACTAATAAAAAATAATTGCAATAAGATGGAGCATTAAGATTCCATATGTAACCTGATTCCTCCAAAAGCAACTGCAGATACAATATAAGAGAATAGGCAACTCCTGTATCTAATGACCCATGATTTTCTACATCAAAATGATGGAAAAGGGGTTCAACCACACGCCTCACTGTTGTAGCTTCCTTAGCCAACCTGGCTTACATTATTCAAGCAAACTTTGGACCCATAAGATGGGCTCTTGGAAGTGTCACTGTAAAATTGGCATATAAAGCTAAGTATGTTAACTACATTTAAGAAATCTCCTTATATAAAGAATATATACCCAAGAAGTAAAAAATAATACCTTATGTTGTTGAATACATATCAGGATTAGTCACAGGGTTCTGGAGAGAAGAAACCCTCCTACTCATATCTGGAAAAGATGAGCCATGAGATTCTTCTTTAAGCACCCCTTGAACCCACCGGTCCTAAGATTGAGAATGTTGCCTCGCTTCCTTACCATCCTCTGGTTTCATTTGAAGATAAGGTAGTTCTCCAATACTTCAAATTAATATGAAAAGCAAACATTGTGCACACTTGCTAGTGTACCTCATAGTCCAACTTAAAATATAATAAGGAAAAAAAATGTTTCCCAAAAATCACCTATAAACTAGATGACATTAATTACATACATCACATAAGTAAAAAACACTAATAAGAACCAACAAGAGGAAAAGCAAACTCACATTGTCAAAGTCTATTGAGATATGTGATTGCTCACCCATGAACCACACCTAAGCAGAAAAGATTATCAAAAGTGGCATAACATTAACAAATGAAATCTCTACATTTGAACCAAAAAATAATTAAGTTTGTCAATATAATATGTTGGAGTTATGAGAAAAGAATTTAATAATTATCTATTCATGTATTAAAGGCCAACTGATAAAATCAATTCAACATCTTCTAAGTCTGATAAAGGGCCTATTGACGAGTAGAAGAAGTGACAGACAATGTGGTCTAAAAAGGTAATGCAGAGAACCAGCTTGGTACTAGAAGCAGATTTCATGTTCAATCACTGTCTCCCGCAAGCAGGCAAAAGTGATGCCATACCCACATTCTTAAACAAGGAACGCAATTACAAAGCCAAAAATTACTCTTATTCACAAAAAGGTTAGTTTGTCTTGTTTTAGTTAGATTTTAATTAAAATTAATTAGGTCTTTATTATCTCCCATGTAAGGACTAGGAAATGTAGGACTTGAACTACTATGTACCTAACCTTAACAAATCCATACTTCAGCAATCATGTCAAGTCCTCTCATCAAATGCCTTAGAGAAGTTTAGAAGTAAAAAAAAGCAAAAGGTTACAAAAAAAAGTGTACATAGCTAAAAAATGGTTACGACATTTCGCAATAGATATAAGTACCAAAAACCAATTAAATTACAATAGCCTGCATAAATAGATTTTAAGCATCATAAGAAAGAAGAAATTATAAAAAGAAAATTAAAAGAACTGGCCATAAAGATTAACGTGCATTAAGTCTGATTGTATGTGTATCTAAATGTGCATTACAAAGCTAGGTAAATAATCTGTACCATGTTAGAGAGAGCTTTCATTCCAGTAGGAATGTGCATTAAGTTTGTGCATTCACAAAGTAATATACTAGGTAAATAAACTGTACCATGTTTGCGAGAGCTTGCATTCCAACATTCTAGCTGAACGTAGGTGTAGAGCCCTTTCATCATCTTTGATAGGTTTGGGTTGGGCCATGGGTCTTTCATGGGCTTGGATAGAACTCTTCTTGGAAAACCGGCTTGCCAAGGGAGGGTACCCAAGCCTTTATAACTCACATGCCCACCTTTTTTTTCTTTTAATATGAGATCCTAACATCCCACCACGCTTCTGCAACCGACGTCCACGTCGGTCTCTTTACCCCTTGGGTGACTACGAGGATCCCCTTTCCTTCGGGCCTCCATGCCCTTTCTCGGGGTAACAACCCGGGCCCAAGGTCAGCTTGCCACGGGTGCACTGTCACATAGGTGCAAGATCATGCTCTGATACCAATTGATAAGAACCCACTTTTTTTTTTTAATTTGGGTTGAGCCATAGGTCTTTCATGGGCTTGGGTAGAACTCTCCTTGGAAAACTGGCTTGCCAAGGGAGGGTGTCCAAGCCTTTATAACCCACATGCCCATCATTTTCCTTTTCAATGTGGGATCCTAACATTCCACCACACTTCCGCAATCGACGTGGACGTCAGCCTCTTTACCCCCGTCGGCCTCTTTACCCCTTTGGTGACTACGCGGATCCCCTTTTCCTCGGGCCTCCATGCCCTTTCTCGAGGTAGCAGCCTAGGCTCAAGAATAGTCCGTCATGCGTGCGTTTCCACATAGACGCATGATCATGCTCTGATACCAATTGATAAGAACCCACTCCAATAACTCAACAATTTGGGCTAGGCCATGGGTCTTTCATGGGCTTGGATAGAACTCTCCTTGGAAAACTAGCTTGGCAAGGGAGGGTACCCAAGCCTTTATAACCCACATGCCCACCATTTTTCCTTTCAATGTGGGATTCTAACATTCCACCACGCTTTCGCAATCAACGTCCACGTTGGCCTCTTTACCCCTTGGGTAACTATGCGGATCCTCTTTCCCTCGGGCCTCCATGCCCTTTCTCGAGGTAACAGCCCAGGCCCAAGGTCAACCTGCCACGCGTGCGTTGCCACATAGGCGTAAGATCATGCTCTGATACCAATTGATAGGAACCCACTCCAATAACTCAACAATTTGGGTTGGCCATGGGTCTTTCATGGGCTTGGGTAGAACTCTCCTTGGAAAACAGGCTTGCTAAGGAAGGGTATCCAGGCCTTATAACCCACATGCCCACCCCCTTTCAATGTGGGATCCTAGCATTCCACCATGCTTCCGCAACCGACGTCCACGACGACCTCTTTACCCCCGTTGGCCTCTTTACCCCTTGGGTGGCTACGCGGATCCCCTTTTCCTCAGGCCTCCATACCCTTTCTCGGGATAGCAGCTCAAGCCCAAGGTCAACCTGCCATGCGTGCACTGCCACATAGGTGCAGGATCATGCTCTGATACTAATTGATAGGAACCCACTCCAATAACTCAACAATTTGGGTTGGGCCATGGGTCTTTCATAGGCTTGGGTAGAACTCTCATTGAAAAATCAGCTTACCAAGGGAGGGTGCTCAAGCCTTTATAACCCACATGAAGGGTGGGCATGTGGGTTTGATAGGAACCCACTCCAATAACTCAACAATTTTGGGCTGGGCCATGAGTCTTTCATAGGCTTGGGTAGAACTCTCATTAGAAAATCGGCTTGCCAAGGGAGGGTGCCCAAGCCTTTATAACCCACATGCCCACCCTTTTCCCTTTCCCATACTTCCGCAACCAGTGTCCACGTCGGCCTCTTTACCCCTTAGGTGACTACGCAGATCCCTTTTCCCTCAGGCCTCCATGCCCTTTCTCGAGATAGTAGCCCGGGCCCAAGGTCAGCTTGCCACGGGTCAGCTTGCCACATAGGCACATGATCATGCTCTGATACCAACTGATAGGAACTTACTCCAATAACTCAATAATTTGGACTGGGCCATGAGTCTTTCATGGGCTTGAGTAGAACTCTTCTTGGAAAACCGACTTGCCAAGGGAGGTGCCCAAGCCTTTATAACCCACATGCCCACCCTTTTCCCTTTCAATGCGAGATCTTAACATTGAAAGGGAAAATGGTGGACATGTGGGTTATAACAGTCCCCTCGTGCCTAGTTTGGACGATTCAGTAATGTCATTTAAGAGTTTGAGATGATTCAATGTGAGTCTAATCACTTTGTTTTCTATAAACATAACTCATCAAGGCAATACATATATCTGGTTGTCCATGTCGATGATATTGTTATTACGGGAAGTGATCAGGATGGCATTAAATAGTTGAAGACACACTCGTTCCACCACTTTCAGACCAAAGATCTGGGATTACTCAGAAACTTCCTTGGTATCAAAGTGGCTCAATCTAGCTTAGGTATTGTTATTTCTCAAAGGAAATATGTACTGGATATTTTGGAAGAAACAGGGATGTTAGACTGTAGACCGATAGACTCTCCTATGGATCCTAATTCAAAGCTCTGACCTGGACAGGGGGAGCCTCTTGCAGATGTTGGGAAATACCGAAGACTAGTTGGTAAACTTAACCATCTCACCATTACACAACCTGATATTTTCTTCTCTGTCATTGTTGTTAGTTAGTTCTACAGTCTCCTTGTGATAGTCATTGGGATACAGTTATTCAAATTTTAAGATATATCAAGGGCACATTAGGCAAATGACTATTATATGAAAACAGGGGTCATACACAGATTGTCAGATATTCTGATGTTGACTGGGCAGGTTCTCCATCTGATGGACGTTCCATTTCAGGTTTTTGTATTCTTGTAGGAGGAAATCTTGTATCTTAGAAAAGTAAGAAGCAAGATGTTGCCAGATCGAGTGTAGAAGCAGAATGCCGTGCAATGGCTCTAGCAATTTCTGAGCTCATTTGGATGAAGCAACTAATCAAAGAATTGAAGTTTACAGAAGTAGTAAAGATGAAGTTACTTTGTGATAATCAAGCTGCTCTCCATAATGCCTCCAACCTGGTGTTTCACGAGAGGACTAAGCATATAGAAATTGATTGTCATTTTATCAAAGAGAAAATCTTATCTAGTTGTATCACCACTAGTCATGATAGCTTAAATGATCAGCTAACAGTTATTCTCACTAAATCACTTAGGGGTCCTCGTATTGACTTTATTTGTAACAAGCTTGGTGCATATAATTTATATGCCCCAACTTGAAGGGGAGTGCTGAGTTGTACAAATATGTTGAGTTGTACAAATCAACCGTTTTAGGAATAGGATCTTTAGAATAGGAAATTAGATCAACCCTTTCCTAGTTTAGATTATTTCATTCCCTTATTTGGATTATTGAATGTATATAAATTGTTGTATTGTGTTCACAATAGTAATATAGAAAATTCTTCTTATTTTACAGCTTAAAAGAATTAACTAGACAATGTAATTTGTCGCTTCCTGTGTTACTCATTTAACAATTTAATTTTATACTAACATCTGAATCACTTTGTTCTCCAAATACTCAAAACACTATAGGTAAAATTTCACATTTGAGGAACAAGACAACCTTGATTTAACAAACATTAGAGATTATCTCTATCATACATCAAGGCTCCGTTTGGCTTATTATTTTTATCCATATTCTCAATCCTATTCCCAAAATACTTGTTTGTTTTGTTATTTGAGAAATATTAGTACATTTTTTTAATTACTTTTAGACCTCTCAAGTTTATTAATTTCATTAAATACCCTTAGAAAAAAGTTTAAAAATTAACAAAAACACCCCCACCCACCCATACTTTCCAGATTTCGACAACTACCGTCGGCGGTAGCCAGAATTTGTCACAACGGCCGACAAACGACCGAAACTGATCGGTAATTCACTGATCTAGCATTTTTTGGCCAGATCTGGCCAAAGAAATGGCCGTCGTTGTCAAAGATATGGCCGTCGTTGTTTGTTGACTGACAACGACGGCCATATCTTTGGCCGTCGCTGACGGCCATATCTACTCTTTTGCGGCCTTCGACAGCCAGATCTAGCCGGAAAAAGGCCATATCGACGCCCTACCCATCAAATCCGATCGGTCTGCGTCGTAACACCATTTTCCAGCCAGATTCCGACGGTGATGGCTATAATCTGGCACTATGGGGTGGATGAGGGTGTTTTTGTCATTTTACAAAAAATTTATATATTGGCGTGTTTAGTTAAATTAGCAAACCTAGGGATTTTTTTGTTAATTTTTAAATTTTACCTCGTAATACTCCCCTATTCAAATACCTAATATTATTCCCAAAATCCTATCCAAAATAACAAAACAAACAGACCCCAAGATAGCACAATTTTCCAATAGTGTTTTCAACACAATAATCATCATGACAAAAGCCAAGAAGCAATATGAACTCATAGATCTAATCTATGAAGCCTATTGTACAAATTACACCATGTCAACTCTAAGGAGTCACACACATTAAAGAACAAGAACACCCACCCTACTTTCACTTGTTGTTATTCTCAAACAGCAGATCCTATCTCAAACAGTAAGTTATAAATACAATGCTACCTTACCCTAGTTCCCCATATAAAAACTACAGATGCAAAAACCACAAAAACGAGACTATAGCTTCATAAAAAAATAACACAAAATTTACTCACATCATAATTTTTACATTCTTCAAGCTCCTTCTCAAGTCCTTCAAATGTCATCACTGCCAGAAACAGCAACAACAATTAACATCTTCACAATAAAATACCTAGTAGTCTGAACAAAAATACAAGACAGTTCACAACTCTTCTCTTACAGTTAAAAGCACTCTCCATGACCTATTCCACAAACATTTCCTAAGAGTCTTCTAAGCAATAATCTCTAAAAAGGAAAGAAAATTTATTTCTTTTCTAGGTTTACAAATTAAATTCAGTCAGCATCACTACATAATGGAAAAAGAGTAACACTTTTGGTCACCGGCAAAGGCTTCCAAAGGTGACCCTCTCAAGTTTCCAGCTATTTCCAAGATTTCAACACCTCAATCAACTCACCCAGAGAACTTACAATCACCCACCATTTATTTCTTTATTTTAAGTTACTTTACCAACTAATTTTACACAAACATTCAAGAAAACTTGAGAATAGTCAAATTCTCTAAAACACAAATCACACCTTAAACAAATCAACGAACAAAGTTCTACATAAATTATACAAAAAGCTTCCACAATTATTAACTTACCCACTTGCATCATCCTCAAAGTCAAGTCCCCCACAAATGCGCCTAAATCAAACACATTTTTCTGGGCATCATTTGCATCACCAAAAGAACCACCCTACTTACAATAAAATTTTCACGTTTAAAATCCCAACAAAAGCAAACTATCCAATTTCTCAATAAGGGCAAAGAAATTAGCACTTCCCAAATAAAAATTACCACTTGGTTTGCCACAACATTCGCCATCTTTAAACGCGCACAACAGCTTCACCTGCACAAATTTTAAAAAAATTCCAAAAGAACTCAAAATTAAGTGAAAAAAAAAAAATTGTATAATAAGATTGGATATTCGTTTAATAGCTTGTTTACCTAGAATCGGAACGAATTCGCGTTCAAAATTTGTCCATTGCTTGTACTGTTGTGGATATTGCAGTGAAGGCACAGTTGTAGTACCAGAATTGTAAGTGCCAATTGCCTCTGCAGGGTAGTTTGAGCATTGATGAGAATTATAATTTTCATAACTGCCTTCATTCCATGAGTTCGTTTGATTATTGTAACCGCTACTTGGATAATTTCCAGCTTTTCGATGATCACCAAGATGGTAACAAGTGCCTGAATAACTTGCAGGACCAGGATAAGACCCTGAATTCAGAAACAAAGAAATAGGCTGATAAGGAGCACCTGCATTTTGATATGCTCCTACGGGTTGGGAGTATGAATGGTTAGGTTGCTGCTGATAGCTGCTATAGTAACCTGGGTATCCTTTGTTTCCATAACTATATGGATCACTAGAATTCGAGTATGGTGTATAGCCAATGTAATCTTGTGATACAACAGTTGCTCCTAAACTTGATGAACTTGCTACAGATGTCGCATTTACTCCATCTTGAACATTCCTTACAAGTGGTTCTGTGTGCTGCTCATGGTGATAAGTGGAATTTGGAAGGATCCCATTCTTATCCACACCATGCATATTCCATGACACAGCTCTAGATGCAGTTGTTGAGGGAAGATATGATGTTTGTGATTGGCTAGCATCAACAACATATCAGTTCTGAAAAAAATAAAAGAAAATATTATTTACATAAAAGCATAATAGCCAAACAAAATATAGCAAAAGCTGAAGAAAGTCACTCAGCTGGAGATATAAAAGGGCTTTGTATGTACTGTTAATATAAAGATAAAGACACTAAATTAATAACAAGATGCAATAAGTACAAATTATTAACAAGCCACCTACAGTGCTCAATGAAAAGGCTCCTACTTAAAGATTAATACACCCAGAATGTTGTGTGTTACAATAGCCTAATCATATATTATATATTTTTAAACCAAACAGGTAGTGTGTGGTCGTCATGCAAATTGGTAAGAAAGTAAAAATTGCAAATCAGATTTAATAAGTTTACTTATTGGAGCTAATTATCAGGTAAAGGGGCAGTAACAGCCATACAGGTAATCTACTAGGTTGGTAGAGTGGATGTAATTATCTATAGTGGTCTCAGGTAGTTTTCAAGGATTAATTTAGTATGCAACTTATCTTATTCCATTATGCTTCATTCCCTTTACGATGAAAACAAACAGCTATACTCATTTTCATACAGCATTACATCCATAAGCAGTGTTCACTTAGACATGAGACAGAAGCAAGAGCTCTTTAACTTGACATAAGTAGTCTAAGAAAAATGAAACCTGAAGATATGTATAATAGGCGACCTTTTTCATATATCCAACTTGGGTCCAAGAAGAAACTGAATTCGGCAAAAGTTCTGAGCCAAATAATTATTGCTTACCTCCACTAGAATCAAAAACTGAAAATACAAGAAGAAGCTGAATTCGGCTAAAGTTCTGAACCAAATAATTATTGCTCACCTCCACTAGAATCAAAAACTGAAAATACAAGGGATGAACAATTAAAAGTAATGCTGTGAACTTCAGTACATTGATAGAGTGAATTGCAATTCTATTATAAATCAATCAGAGCAACTAAATCAACAATTTTTCCTTCCTACTACACACTGCTACAAATTTGCTAAAGAACACCATAACCTGAAAACCAAATTAATACATCAACATCCACTACTATTTACTTCTAGCTAAGATAACCACGCACTGCTTTTCTTCTTCTTTATTCTAACCCAGAAATGCTCAACAAACTTCAATTCAAAACCTGTGCCCCATTCAAACCCTACATTCTAAATTCTAAGAAAAGCATATAATCGCAGAAACAATGCATTATAATCTAATTCTAATTGATTTATCCGCTAGATCAACAAATTTTATTTTTGAACATATAAACAATAATAAAAGCTACAAATTCTACTAAACATATTCCAGCTATCAATTTAACAATAACATAAACAAAATTTCTACTGGTTTATACAACACAATTCATCCATTCAAATTAAAACCATGAAATAAAAATAAAAAGAAAATAATTATCTCAACCAAATTAGGGTCAAGTGAAGCCATGGTTTGAGTATTGCTTCCTTGATTCATCATCTCATCAACATCCTAATTTTAGTTCATTGTAAAAAAAATTATATAACAAAGCCAAAACCCTAAATACGAAACTGAACAACTCTTAACCTTCCAAAATAAAACTAAAAAACCCAAAGATCAGAAAAAGTAGTTGGAGGCTGAGGAGAAAGTTTGAAAGAGTGCAGAGAAAACAGAGGAAAAACATGGTTTACTAATAAATAGAAGTAAAGAACGAATTCTTTTCTATCAATTTATTTAGTTGAAGAATTATTCCGTTTTTTATTTTTATTAATTGATAGAATTATTCTGTTATATTGTGAGTGCATTAACTTACCCACTTGCATCTTCCACAATTCTTAACTTACCCAGTTGCATCTTCTTCAAAAGTCAAGTCCCCGCAAATTACCCTAAATCAAACACATATTTCTGGGCATCACCAAAAGAACCGCCCTACATACAATAAAATTTTCATATTTAAAATCCCAACAAAAACAAACTATCCAATTTCTCAATAAAGGCAAAGCAAATAACACTTGACAAATAAAAATTACCACAACATTCGCCATCTTCAGACGCGCACAACAGCTTCACCTGCACAAATTAAAAAAAAAAAAATTCAGAAGAACTTCAAAATTAAGTGAAAAAAAATGGTATAATAAGATTGGATATACGTTTAATTGCTTGTTTACCCAGAATCGGCGTTCAAAATCTGTCCATTGCTTGGACTGTCGTAGATATTGCAGTGAAGGGGTAGCTGTCAGTACCAGAATTGTAAAAAACCCAAAGATCTTGGGATTAAAAAACCCAAAGATCAGAAAGAGCCGTTGGAGATCTTGGGAGCAAAAGAGCTGCTGGAGGAGAAAGTTTGAAAAGGTGTAAAGAAAACAGAGAAAAAACACGGCTTACTAATAGATAAAGGTAAAGAATGAATTCTCTATCAATTTATTTAGTTGTAGAATTTTTTTGTTATTATTTTTATTAATTAAAAGAATTATTCTGTCATATTGTGAGTGCATTAAATGTTCATGTGAAGAGGCAGAGTCAAGTTTTATAAATAAAATAACTACATCTTTATTAATAAATAGTTACTCTATTATATTGTATTAATACTTGTAGACATTTCTACAAACACAGAGTTAAAATCCTTTGGGTAATACTATCTGTAGTAATGGATTTAGAAATTTTTATTAGGGTGGACCAAAATAAAAACTAATTACACATTAATATTTTTGTCCATTAATATTTTTGTTAGAGTGGGCCAAAATCCAGAAATTATATATATTAGTATTTTCTAAAATAAAATTGAGGATTCGCCCTTGGCTATTTGTACAAGCTCTTCGTACAAAAAGAGTTTGTACAAACTGATGTGGCACACCATGTGAGTGTCATGTGATATGAGGGTCCACATAACATTAATATGACATTAAGTTACGTGGGTCTTAATACTATATGACATGCTTTGTGATGTGTCATATCAATTTGTACAAACTCTTTTTGTACAAATAGCATTACCCAAAGGATTAAGGATGTGAAGTTCTCTCACACATTTCTTCAAACATAAATGGAAAGAATTTAATATTCATATAATAAATAGATAAATGAATAATTGACAAAAGCTTGTTTTCATTTAGAGAACATACCGACTTGTTTCTTAATGTTTCCCCATATAAATATTAAACTTTTGCATTTTTTTAGAAAGTACAAGTATAGCGAATTGGTGATGGTACGCTGTGGAGTGTAGAATATTGGCAATAGTTTGGTTAAAGGTGATTTCGAAGCCTAATTTAGACCTGGCAAATGGGTGGGTTCGCCGGGTATGGTCCGGGTAGCAACAGGTCGCGGGTTCACGGGTGAAAAATTCTCACAGATAGATATTTTCATGATCCGTACCCGCCCGTGCGGGTACGGGTCACCCGCGGTCACCCTTGAAAAATGCAGCGGCCTTTTATATTTTTCACTGTTTTTCCATATTTTTGTTATTTTTACTGTTTTTTTAATTCAAAATTTCAAATTGCATACTAAATTATATTAATTTAAAAACTTGATATAAAATTCATTTATTAAATTATTAGTTATTAACTTATTATATTATATAAATGGATGATTAAATTAAATTTGATTAGATTTATTTCACCAAACATTATTAATTCAATATTAATATTTTTCATATTTATATCAAACTCCACCATATAGATAATAGAATTAATAAACACTAAACATACATAGTAATTACTAATTAGTAAACACTAAACATATAAAATTGTTTAACATTCAACTTACATAACATAGTAAACACTAAATAATTAAACATATATAATTGTTTAACCAAGGTACCAAACACACTAAACAAACAAAGCCGCCCTTGATTATGCAATCTCCTTCCCCGGCACTTGACTTAATGGCACAAGCAGCTGAACATCATCAATTTCATCTTCTACAATTAACAAAATATAAGTTAACTATCGTAATATATTAACAAACAAAAATATTAAAACATGTGAAATATAAGTTAAAATGTTACCTTTAACTTCATATCCAGAAATCCATGTCCTGGTGCATATCAAAGACTCTGCATTCTCCGGTAAAAGTGAACTTCGATATTTACTGAGCACTTTGCTACCAATACTGAAACTGGATTCCGAAGCAACAGTCGTTATTGGTATACTCATCACATCACGGGCCATCATCGAAAGTATCGGATATCGATCACTATTTTTCTTCCAATGGTCCAGGACATCCAAATTGCAAAATTTGATGCGATCAAATCTTGCCTCTCCCAAATAAGTATCCAATTCGGACTTCTTAGTAGCACTAAAGTCACTCTTGTAGTAGTCAAATTCCTGCACCATTTAAATAGTTAAATTTAATAAAGCAAAATTACAAAATAAAGAAAACTTTATTAATCACAAGAATATAAAAATATTTAGGGAGTATTGACTTACACAGATATCATCTCCAATGATATGAGGATTACTAGCTTGTCCGCAATCATCTCCAGTGGGAACCTCATGGCCACTTAGACTCTCATAAGCAGCAAAAAGCCTATACAACTCCTGTTGCACCAACTCCAACTTTCTTGTTGCAACTACTGGGCCATCAACTTTTTTGTAACAAAACTCAACAAACTCAAACTTGAAACGTGGGTCCATAATTGCTGCAATTGCTAACACAACAGTATAAGAATCCCAATATTTGTCAAATTTTCCTTTCGTTTGACTTGCCATGGTATCAAGAACTTCATCCTCATTTTTCATCTCTTCGTATAAATGCACTTGAATTCTCCACACATTTTTGAGATACAAGTTTGCTGCCGGGTATTGGGAACCTGAAAAAAGAGTAGTGATCTCATAAAATGGTTGCAAGAACTTGCAAATCCTCACCCACCTATCCCATTTTTCATCTGAAGGACAACTTTTATAATTGGGATCTATCAGTACCAAATGAACAAACACACGACGGTATATTAACGCACTTTCAAGCATTAAATAAGTGGAATTCCATCTCGTGGGAACATCCATTCGCAATCCTGTTGAGCTTATCACACCAATTTTTTTTAACAAGTTCTCCAAACTTGATTCTTTTAGCCTCACTTCCTTTAACATATTTCACACTTTCACAAATTTTATGCAAAACCATGCTACTCACCTTTAACCTTTCTTGGACTATGAGATTCAAGATATGTTCACAACATCGCACATGAAAAAAAGAACCATCACATAATAAAACATTTTGCACACAAAGTTGACACCTTAAAATGTCTTCCATTTTATCATTGTTGCCTGCATTGTCTAATGTAAGAGAGAAGACTTTCTTTTCAATCCCCCAATCTTTTAAGAAATCATACACTATATCTGACAAAAGAGCCCCTGAGTGTGGAGGACGAATATGACAAAAATTCAGAATTCTACTTTGTAACTCCCAGTTCTCATCAACATAGTGAGCCGTTAAAGAAATATACTCATCAGTGGTACAAGAACTCCAAATATTAGAAGTCAAGCATATTCTACCCGAAACCCTCTCTAAAGCAAGCTTAATGTTTTCCTTCTCCCTGTAATATATCTTTAAGCAATCCACCTTAGCAGTGTTCCTAGTATAATGCTTAACTTCATGATTCAAATACATGTGGACATCCTTAATTCCTTCATGCTCCACTATTGAATATGAGTAATTATATTTTATGATTCCTATTGCCATCTTCTCACAATAAATTTCTTGAGAAATCTTCAAACGTCTCAATTTAGTATCACAATCCATCATCATTTGATCTACACTACTAGTAACGGTACGTTTAGGACAACCTTCCATACGGCGCCTCATATTCTTAGTCCCATGACTGGAACTACTATGTGCATAAGACTTATCACAAATCATACACTTTGCCCTCACCTCCCCATTATCTTCTACATATGTTGTAAATTGACCCCAAACATCTGACACTTTATGTCTTTTTGGACAAACAGTACTACTAGTAGAAGGAAGTAGACCTACGGCTACATTACGGCCCGTTCCTAAATCTATAGACTCCTCCATACCAAGCCAATCTAAAAGACACAACAAAATATTTACATTTAAATTAATTAACCAATCATAATTCATAACAATTCGTCCAAAAGAAATAAAAACACTCCTATATATTTTACAAGCAAACCAACCCTACCAAATGACTGGATTTTTCCAACTCAACAATCAACACCCCTCAACTCCAATGAGTATAACCAATCATAATTCATAACAATTCATCCAAAAAAAAAAAAAAAAAAATTATAATGTGGTATATGCTGTGAAATTGTGAATCATCATTATTTGAGTCGAAAGAAAATAAATATTTGAGTAGGGGCCAAAAGCTCAAATATTTATTTTCAAAACTTTTTAAGCCTCCCTCATGTCACGTTTTTAAGCAGTCAATTTTCAACTTCCTAATTGGCTGGTGTAAGTTTTTTTTTTTAATTTAATAATGAGTTTTGTCTTCTCTAGTTTTAATTCAATTGAATCATGTTAATTGGAGAAAAATAAAAGTTACGGACATGAACGACTCTCTAGTGTACATTGTACAACAACTCAAGTTACTCAACAAGTCAACAATATGGGATATCCACCTGGACCACCCCTGATTCCATGCTTTATAACTTTAATAACAAATTGGATTCTATTAAAAAACACCCTACGCTACCTACCGTGCTGCTGCTGCCCTGCCATGCTACTATTGCCCTGCTGCTGCCCTATTGCCGTGAGAGAATGAGCTGCCATGAGAGAATGAGCTGTCGTGACCTGCTGGCGCCTACTGCTGCCGTGAGAGAAGTGAGAGAATGAGGGAATGGAGCTGCTGCTGCCGTGACCTACTGTTGCTACTGCTACCGCTACCGTGAGAGAATGAGGGAATGGAACTACTGCTGTTGCCGTGACCTGTTGGTGTTTGCTGCTGCCATGAGAGAAGTGAGAGAATGAGGGAATGGAGCTGCTACTGCCGTGACTTGTTGTTGCTGCCGTGACCTGCTGTTGCTTCCATGACTTGACTGCTGCTGTTGCCATGACTTGACTGCTGCTATTGCTACCATGAGAGAATGAGGGAATGAGTTGCTGCTACTACCGTGACCTGTTAGCGCCTGCTGCTACCGTGAGAGAAGTGAGAAAATGAGGGAATGAAGCTGCTGTGAGAGTGAGGGAATGGAGCTGCTGTGAGAGGAATGGTCGTGGAGCTGCTGTGGCCTATGAGAGAAGAGAATGAGCTACTGCATTTTTGTTTTTTTCACTGATAAGCTTTGGTTTAGATTAGGGTTTGAGAGTGATAAGTTTTTTCAATGAATAATTTAAATTTTTTTTTTTTAATTTCAAATTTGCGGGTTCGCAAGTAGTACTCAACCCACCTGTAAAAGTCACGGGTGGG